GGTGGCCAGAGCCCCTGCCCTCGGAGCCAGAACAGTCTCATACTAATCAGGCTGATTCATTTCTGGGGACCGGAGTGGTTTTTAGGTGCAGACATAAGATTCAGCCCAGCCCTAACGGCAGCTCGCACTAAGACAAAAATAAGCAATTTACTCTAGGCCACAATTCTAGACAGTCTAGCGCAGCTTGGGGCCTCTTTCATCCAGGGAACCAATGCATGCCACAGATGGGAGCGAAGATGCAGCAAAAACACCAGGCATAAACCAACCACAGAGGCGACTCACAGACTGATGAAATAAGTCCTTCAGAGGTTGTCCAGTTGGACAATTTTCCAAAAGCACTCCCCAGAGCTTCAAGGGAGTGGGTGGGTGTGGAGGTGGAGAGATGAGGCCCCACTGTCTCTTTTTACCTCGTTCATGTTTGACAGCTTCTATACATTTGACTTCCTTCCAGAGAGAACATTGAGGCCCGAAGGGGAAGAACACCCTTGTCCAGGATCATAAAGAGCTGGTAGCAGTTTAGTGTTCCCTCGGTTACAAACATGGCAGAGAACAAAGTAGGGGGTGGGGGACCAAGATACAAGTGTGCAAAGGCCAACGTGCCAGCCGGCAACGATTCAACCAAGGCAGCGGTTGCCTAGGCTTTGTCTTCCCTGGGGTGTGTCCTCCACTTCCTGTGGCCCAGGGCCGCCATTGCCTGGCAGTACTAACAGATCTGGAATTCAAGCTGCCATTTCGGCTGCTGTTATAAGGCTGGCTGCCTTCCTGACCGAAAAGCAATTTCACTTCAAAGGGCCTGGCCTCCGCAGTCTTAGCCAAGTCCTTGAAAGCAGGGTGCTTTTTTCCTTTAAGCATGTAAGGGGAGAACAGATGATGCCCTCTATTTGAGATCAAGACAGTAATTATGTTGGACAAGCTCTAAGGACTAACTTCACAGAGGATTCAGATAGCCTCATGAATGAGAAAGTGTGAAACTAGTACGAGAATAGCCAACATGTCACATGTGCTTAGGGATGGAGGCCATTTGGCAGAAGGCTCCACCTCATCAGGGATTGTGTCTTGCCTTGGCTGGGTGGGACATAACAAAGGTTTGGTCCAGTAATGCAGGTCCCAATGCTAAAAGCAGACCAGTCACCCAGAAGAGGTCATACAACCCTTGGCAAGTCACGAGATCAATCCTGCAGCCTCCTTCTTCCCCAAATCTAATGAGGCTCAGAAGATACTTAAATTTCACCTTATGAAGAAATATCACCAACTTGTCTGAAACATGCATTAAAAAAAAAAAAAGTGATGAATGTGATATGGTTAGCAGCATGCCATGTTAATTTGATAAAAACGGTCCTGTGGTTTATTTGTTAGGGAAGAGAGAGCACAAGAAATATCTGTTCTGTGTACTGTACATTTGAACAATGTTATTCATGAAGGCTTAAGGGGTAAATAATGAAAAACATGATTCTTGAAGTAGCTGGTAAACACTGGCCAGGCTTCTGCATTACTTCTTGTTGCCCGGTGCCTGCACAGCTCTACCTCCGAGCCTCACGGTACCTGTTTCTGGTATTCTTGGCAATGACAATCAAAACCTAGGAATCTGCCCCTCTGGGGCAGGACCTGCCTGTCACAAAGACACAAATCTTCCACATGCATTCTAAACATATTTCGAATATCTTTCAACATGATCCTGCAAATAAACACAGAATCGAGACAGCTTAGTATTTGGCCATTGGCTTCATTTCCTATGGGCCAAGATGAAATATTTATGTAACAGGAAGACCGAACAGTCATCTTAGCTCCAAGGGCTTCCAGCATAAGGTCCATTTTAAAAGTTCTGAGAGGGCTTCCAAGTAGTTCGGCTTTGTGGTTCCAAGACCTTTTTGAAGATTTGCAAAAAAAAAAGATTCCACAGCATTTCCCTGCAAAGGCTAGTCTTTCTAATTACAAAGAATAATGCAATGTATTTTTTATCCCAACAATATTATTGCTTCAGTGTGGGAGGGTAAATGAGGCAGCAAACACTGCCTTATTCTACTAGATAAGGAAACTAAGTCAAAGCAACTTTTCTTAGTTACAAGGTAAACGAATTATCTGGAACACAAGTGACCCAGCTTCTCACACTTGCCCTTTCAACACCTGCCTACACACTTAGCCCAATTAACAGCCAGACTTGAAAAAACCACAAGGGTCTGGGATGTATGAGAGGCAGAGGTTATTTCCTGTGCCTCCCTACTTACTAGACTCTGGCACACAGGACTTGGCATAGAGCTGTTTGCCCAGTGAAATATCTGTTAAAGTGGTATCATTTTACAAAGGCTTCCAATTTGTACTTTAATGAATAAAGGATTTCAATGTTGATAATCAAATCCCCAGCTAATATTAGTGTCAGTACAACGTTTAAGGTTGAGGTGGTGAACTCCTAGCCTTCAGAATCAGAATGCAACTGGTCACAAAACTCTGCTCTTTGCTAGGGTAGAGGTAGGGGTTTGGGGGTGGACGAGAGGTGTGCAGGGTATTGGCAAAGGGGTGAGAATCTTCTTAAAATGAAAACACTGGCTTTTCAGCGGCCTGAACTGTTCACAGTCTCCTGTAACATTAAACAAGCTGAACATTAAAACACCAAAGAGAAAGGATGTGATACTCTTCCATGATTCTTTAACAGGAAAGACAGGCTTTAATGCTCATTTCACTTCAGCAGTTTGTTTTGACAGCAATAAATCATCCCTTGGGTACTTAAAACAGGTTATTCAACCTCAGCATTATTAACCAGGGTCTGATCAACAAGTCCATGACCACACAGACTAACCAACTGGACATTTAAAGAAATAAAAAAAATCACTCTGGATTATGATTCCATAGAGAGAAAGGGACACTCATTTCTTTTTAATTTGGCAGAAAGATCACAGTAATTCTAAACAAAGTTCATTAATACACAGAAAGATACTTATTCTCCCAGGGAATGAAAACGTCCGAATGGCAACCTATATTTCAGATAATGGTAACAATTTGTACCAGCATATGTTGTACACATTAGTTTGGGATTAAGGAATGGCCAAAAATATAAGAGGAGGGGACCTCAAGCTTTATAATACCTGCTACAGAAGACTGACTGATCTAGTATATAAAAGTACACATGCACAACATAAAAAACCCGATGGAAAGAGTCTCTGTACTTCAATGTGGTCACAGCCAATTGGTCTCCAACTATTTGTAAATACAAAGGAAGAATCGGGTTTAGGTTATACCTTATACCTGTGCTCGCTGTACAAACTGGTGAGGGTGGCAATGCAAGGCCACTAGTTACTGTGGGTGGGGAAGAGGTCCCAGCCCAAGGCTCCTTTACTTCAAAGAGCACAGGGGAGCAGCCTGGGGATGCAGATTCCGATTCGGTGGGTCTGGGGCCTGAGCTCCTATGTCTCTAACGAAGCGTTGCAGCACTGCTGGGGCCATAGCTGACATTCTGAGTAGTGCTGGTAGAACCAGGTAAGCTGCAAGGGCAGGAGGGACACCTGGGGCTCTGAGGACAGACTTGGGGAGTATCACCTGCTCACTCGAGGCCCACCCCACTCTCACTCTGGGCAGTGTTAATGCAGGAGCCAGTACTGAGACTGGGTTATCAGCCTGGAAGACTTACAAAAGGCTGTTATTTTGTGCCATTGCATAAGAAAAAAATAAGACTCAAGTAACAAATTTTAAAACTGTTATTAACGGCAAATTGGGAGAAAGATATCAGCTTTCTGGGGGCTCCTAACATGTTGCTGTCAATCCCCAGGAAGAACCTCCTCTGGCTAAACAGCCGCTTGTCAGGGACAAGGAAGTCGCTGCATCTGGCCCTGAGTGAATGTGTACGCAAGCCTTTATTGGGAACGA